AAAAAAAAAAAAAAAAAAGAAAGAAAAAAGGAATGAAAGAAAGAGCGCAAATTCCTTCCTCTAATGTGAACAAATCCCGTTTAACGTTAGTTACACCTCAAAAAAATTGCACGAATTTTTCTGTTCGTTACACAGATTGTGATATCAAAAAAGGAAGAAAAAGTCAAGGCTGAAAAATACAACTTTGGTGAAGCAAAAACGGGCTCTTCAGAATTTGCCTCCGCGACCCAACTGTCGTAGTTGCAAAAAACACAAAAACAAAATGTACATATATATGTGCAACATGTGTACAGTGCTTGGGTAAATACACATATACATATATATATATTTATTTATGTGTATAGGAGGTGTGCCTCCCCTATGAAGGTGAATTTGTTTCACTTCGCCCCTACTGGGGAAACACCCTGCGGCTTATGTGTACGTTACGTTGCTGTACCGTGCCGTACTGTTCTGTTTTGTTCTGTTCTAGTCTGTTCTGTTCTGTGCCTGTTTCCGCATGCCAACATGGTGGGCCAATATGTGGCCTAAACGGGAGTTATATTTCGATAAAAGCAAGTTCCACCACGCTGTAACTTTTTGTGTCTTTTCTTTCTTTTTTTTTTTTTTTGTATAAATTTACCTGATTTGTTCAGAAAAAAAAAAAAAAAAAAAAAAAAAAAAATTGGCACACTTTGTTTATGAACACGTCATAATTAAATGAAAAACGAAAGTTAGCTAAAATGGCTATACAGCTCATTTCTTTTAAAAATACAAGGTGTTTTTTTTTAAAACCTTTTTTGGGCACAAGTTGTGGGAAATTAATGCGGAGAAGGGGGGAAACAGGTTTTATTTTCCTCACAGCATTAAGAAGGTATGTGTGATGCCCTCCCCCCACCAACACACGCATTCGCATATGTACGCATACACATATGCAACAAACGGTCTCTAGAACGTGTGCGTTCGCGAGCCAACAACGCGGAACTAATCCCGCCATGTGGACGGGGGGGGGCACAAATCAGGAAAAGAAAACAAAGCCTACTGGTTATACTCTCAAAATGTACAAATATTTATCGTTTTAATTTAAAAAAAAATTAATAAAGTGTATATCGAATTGGAAAGAAAAGTGATGCATATGACACATGGCGCATTTGTGCTCATTCGTTGGTCCGTTTACTATTACCACTCATATTAGCACTGTTGTTGGTTTGTTATTTTCTGCTATTCAAGGCATCGAACACGCGTGTCCCTCATGCGTGTAAGTAGTGAGAAGTATCTGCGGGTGTAACCAATTCGTCACTGCGGAAAGGTCAGGGAGGGGGAGAATACATGCACGTGTAAGTGCTCATAAGATGAGCAATTTATTCCCATTGTCCACTCCCCCCACCCCCTTTCTTTTCTCAGCATTCTTTTGAGTGTTAATGTTTCGCCGCTCACTACATTCACCATTTACACTTTTTATTTTTCCTGCGTGCGCATTTTTTTTTCATATTCTTCGGATCAGCTGCGCTGACAATGTGGTACTTAAATCAGTCCCTTCCGAGCACTACTCCCGCGCACAACATATCACTAATGTTGAAACCTTCGCATGCTACACGATCGTCAATGTGTATACGCACCATGGGTTGAGTTCTGTTCCCTTGGGGGCCTGGTCACGGGTCTATAAGAACTCCATCATACGAGCACAAACCAGCACAAACGTATGTACATGTGTATGAGCCTACGCTGCGCGCACTTCACTCGGGTGTTACTGTTGTCTGCGTGGCGTCGGCCATCCGTTTTCCCCTGATGTATATGTTTTTCCCCTGACTCTGCAGACCCCTCAATTTGCGGCTGGCCAATTTAAATAATGCGCTTTCGAACTTGGTGCGGTCTATGCTACCTCTTGCCTTTTGGTACCTCTGTACTTTTTCTTTATTTTCCTTTTCTGCTTTTCCAGCTATATGATTATTTCTCCCTTTGTCATTTTTCCTTTTGCACTGTTCATTCCATTTCCGTTCACTTCTATTCTTTTCATTTGCGAGTCCTTTTCCTTGCCAGCTCATGGAGGCCGTCGTAGAGGTCATAGACACTTCATGATTTTCAAAATTGTAAATGTGGACGCTGCTTCTATTACTTCTACTGCTGCTATTGGCATGATGGATACCCTTGGAGGGGTTACAGCGCGTGGGGGCCGCTGTCTTGTTCTGAGTTTTGCCCCCATTCAAACCCACCCCGTTGTGTAATTTTGCAAGTGCGTTTCTATGCAGGGGATTCATATGGCTATTATCACCAACGTTAGTTCTGCTATCTGCACGAGTGCCCTTCTCCAAGTTGTGCGACTCTAACTTTGTCCTGTCTTCAGGAATTCCATTATTATCTACCCACCCCTGATTTTTAAAGTACCTGTTACAATCATGAAACAAAATTTGTGTATCTAGAATTACATCCAGGGGGGTCATTTTATTTTCAATTTTTTTTAGCACATAACAGCATTGGCAGAGCATCAGTTTTTGAAGTTCTTCTCGGTTCATATTTTCTATTAAATATTTGAACAGGTAAAAATGGTTTCCATTATTTTTCTTCTTGTAAGTGTTCATGCTGTGATGACCATCATAAGTGTAACTTTGCATTAAGCGGGGGTCGTAATGGTTTTGCGATACATTCGGTTCATCTCCTTTTTTCGTTGCAGCTTCATCTGTTTTATTTAAAATATTGTGTGTCCTTTTTTTAAAAAATTCTCTTCTGTGAAAATTGCAAAAGTGGTCATAGGTTAGGGTTTTATTTGGACCTCTATGTTCTGTGATGAAATTGTACGATATGTTTATGAGGTCCTCTTCCAGCATTCCATTCGTGCTGTTCTGTCTCCCTTGATCATTGCTCTTATCGTTTGCTCCACCCCCACTGGAGTTGCTCTCCTTCTTGGTCACCCCCATGGAATGGTTATACATGTTATAAGGGATGATGTAATTCTTCAATTTTAAATAATTGTAATACCTGCACAGAATTTTTTTAATTTCGCCATTTTGTGCATGCACACCATGTTTGTTTTTAACGTGGAGTGGGTTGATGTCTGTCATATGTTCCGTCCTACTATCCTCCTTCGTCGCGCTTCTGCACATTGGCTTTTTATTACCATTTGCGGAGACGTCCCTAGCAACGCTGTAGCTACTTCCGTTGCTGGGGGCTCCATTGGGTATTTTCCGCCCATCATTTAACAAATTGGAGGTACTGTTTATTCCCTTTTCCTGCGTGTTAGCCTTCTCATTTATGGCTTTCACAAAATGTCTAGTCGCGGAGTCGCCGTTATCTTTACCGTAATTATTGTTCATATGGTTGTGAATAGTTTTTTCGTTGGTTTCCCCCTCATTTTCTTCATTTTCTTCTTCCTTGGTAGGAGCGGTGTTTTGCCCATCCGCTACCTTTTCGTTACTCACAGCACATTGCCTGATGTAGGCATAACAATAAAGGTTGAGGAGATAATCTTGCACGTTTTTTTTTTTCTTGTTTAAATTGTTCAGGTAATTTTTCAATGATTCATAATTGCCCTTGAAGGTCTTGGTCAGGTCGCCTATGTGTGCGATGTCTTGGTAGATGCCTGCCTTGGTGGCTGCGGTGTTGGCAGTGACTTGCTCCCCGTTCTGTAGCCCATGTTGCTTCCCCTCCTCAGCGCCTCCGTCGTCATTACAAAGAAGACTATCATTTTGGGTGCCATTTGGATGGCCCCCGTCTTCCTCCCTATGCTGGTTCAAAATGTGCAAAACGCAATACTTGCATTTTTCAAATTGTGTCTCATCTACATGGGGGGGCTTGGACAAATTTTGAAGAAGAAGCCCGTGGTACTTGTTAATAAGAGCAGAGGACTCATCATCGTGAATTTCGTTAAAGGCTAAATTGTGGTTTAGCTTTTCCGTTGCCATGTTATTATTTTCTTGCTCCCTTTCCGCAATAGCTTCCTTACAAGGGTTCCCTTTTTCATATGTCACATGGTCATGATTGTAGCCTCCTCTGGAATGTCCAGCAGGTTGATTTTCAAAGCTGCTCAACTTGATCGACTTAGTTTGTCCTTGTGAATTCCTTTTCACCACATTGCCTATCTCCTTTTCGCTACCGGCAGATGTGATGGGAAAATTTGCGAAGATGTTTGGCCCACATTTTGAGGGGTCTTTATTATTGGACTCTGCTTGTGTATCACCTTTTGCCTTGTTCAAGCTAACCTGATTTGTGGCGTCTCTTTTGTGTGGCTTCTTTCGCTTGTCCCTTTCAGCGCTGTGGAGGCGGTCATACGGGGCGACGTGCACATTGGTCTTCCCTTCATGATGTTGCTTCTCCTCAGCACATTGCGCATCTTGCAGACCCTTCTCAACATGGACATGATCTTGATCATCCTTGTTTTCCTCACGCCGATCTACTGCTTTACTTCCACAAGTGACTCCCCTTTTCGAACAGGCAGGAGTGCACAGAGGGAATAATTTTCTTTTTACCTTCTTTGCATTTCCATCCTGTGCAGGAACTTGATTGGACTCATTTTTTTTACCATTCATGTATTGCTTATTAACGCACTTAATAAAATTTGTTAAAACGTTTCTGTCTATTATGTCCTTTATATTGTGGACACGTTTGGTGTGAAGGCTGAAGTTTTTTTTTTTTTTTTTCGAGGGGTCTCCTCTTTTGGTGCTACTCTCCTCTGCACGAGGTTGCGTTCCGTTTAGGTTGACTCTGTCAATGATGTTGTCCACGTGGTCATAGGGGGGATTCCCGGGGATGCCTCTGCCGTCTCCGTCATGCGCGTCGTTGCTGTTACCTGTATTGCCGCTCGCGCTCTCGTTGAACGTGTGCTCATCATTTTGTTCGAGTGGCCCTTCCGGATGAACATTCCGTTTCATTCTTTTCCTTACATGCACAGCGCCTCCAATGTTATTGCCATCACTGCCACTGCTGGGAGTGCGCCTGTTGCGATTCTTGTCCCTTTGCCTGCACTTCTTTTCCCTCCTTTTTTGCGTACCCACGAGACACAAATTGTGTTTATTCACAGCGTCACAATGGCTACCCTTCGCAGTGGTATGCCTAAGTTGGTAGCAACCAGTTGAGGAGTTAGTTTGAGGATCCCTTCGCTGTACTTCAACATTATGCGCCTTGCCCTGCGTAAAACTTTGATCGCACTGCTGGTGAGTGTCATTATGTGGTTCTTCTGTGCCCATTTCTCCTTTACGTGTAAATTGTTCGTTCTTTACGAGTTCTCTGACCGCATCGCCTGCACAGTCAGGCAAATCCATATCTCTTTTGTCTACCTTTTGTTTGCTCGTTTTTAAATTTTCCTTTTTAATTTGATTGGATTGGAGAGTGTCTCTTTTGACGAGGGCATCGTTAAGGTACTGCGCATTTCTGAGGAACAACTGCAGATCGACGTGCAGCTGTCTCATGTTTTTAAGTTTTGCATGATTTGTGTCAGATCGTTTTACACAGCTGTTTCTTCCTTGTGCATCAACGCACGGTGAATTCATGTCGTTGCGCTCCTCTCCATTCGACTGATTCGTTTGTTGAATTCGTTTTGCACCACACGTTTTAATTTTACCAAACAAATTTTTCCCTTTACCTTGCTTGCTTTTATTATCGTTAGTAGTCTCTTTTGTTTTCTCTTCTTTATGTGCGATGTGCTTTATTGTAGGTAAGTGTTCACCATGGGTGTCATTTTTCCTTGCACAATTTTTGACCAATTTCGCATGACTGTTCAGGTTAATTTTGATCTTCCGCTTCAAACTCTCGTAGTTGATAGAATGTGTGCGAGACATACTTTTTATGTTTCTAATTATTTTCCTTTCTTTGCATGTGCTATCGTCTGGAGGTTCCTTTGTACTTTTACGTGGAGTAAGCAATTCGTTAGTTTGGCTTTGCTGCATCATTTTTTTTTTTTGTGGTGAAGCGGTGAGGAGGGCAACCTAGTCGAGCAAACTGCCTATCACTTATACTACACACACGCGTGCACTTGCGAGTGTGGGCGTCTGTCCAGGTGACACACCCAAAAAGGACCCTTTTGCGGATACACTCAAAGGGATCTGTTCAAACCCCGCCCCTGTCCTCTCGTGTTGTGAACTTGTTAAAAAGTAAAATCAGCAAATTGAAAAATGGAGAGGAAGATAAATATGCACAAGCAACACACACCTCGTTTGTCGACAGCAGGGGTAGCACAATTACACAAAAGTGAATGCACAGGGGGGGGGCACAAACGAGGACACAATACATGCGAATGTCGATGGGGACTTGCCACGCTGCCAACGAAGAAATGTTACACAGCGAAAGACTCTCCAAGCAGAAATATTATCAAAACAAAAAAAAAAAAAAAAAAAAAAATTGAAGTACAGATTTTATTAATTACGTGTATTCGCACAAGAGGGGGACACATATAATTCATTTTTGAGTCGATTAAATCTACACAATTGTTCTGACATAAGGGAGTTTTAATTTTTTAATTTTTCAACAATATGTTTTTGCCGCATGTACGAAGGAGAAAAGGGGTAAGCATTTCCTGCCCTTTTGTAAATAAGCACACTTGGGTCAAATAGCACATTATTATCCTGCTGATACGTAATTTGAAAAGTGAGGTAAATACGTGGTGATGAATTGGCATGCGATTTCACTCGGGGAGGAACAAGCCCATGGAAATGCAGGCGCAACTCAGGGAAGCATTAACATGTGCGCAAGTGTAAGGGATGGGGCAATGGCGACGTCGTGCGTGTCATTGTGTATTCCTTGGCTTAAATGATGGAAGGTCACGTATCATCAACAGCTCATCATTCGCAATTCCACGTAGGTGAAAAAGGAAAAAAAAAAAAAAAAAATTAATAAAGTCTATACAACATTTCTGATGCAACACACGGCTCATAACAATTGTGTCATTTGCACAAGAAAAAAAAAAAAAAATCACAGAACGTGCAACTTGCGTTGTGAAACATGTCAACATGGGTTGCAGTGCAAATGGGAATTATTTATTTGGTCTTCTATTACATATAAAATTGTAAAATAAATTACATTTTTTTTTTTTTTTTTTTTTGGCGGGGCGGGCTTTGCAAAGTGGGTAGCAGCCAGGTGGTAGGGCATGTGTCAACCTGCTCTGGGGCGCACAAGCGGATAATAAAAAAAAAGTTCCTGTGAGTGGTGTATCCCTCACGATGGGTTGAAAAGGCACATGTGCCTGGTTTTGCTCTTGTGCGTGAAGTTGTGTTGGTGGGGCTACAGATGGAACACAAATACGAAAAAACGAAAATGTGGGGGAAAATACGCACAGTGAGCACACAACGCGAGCAAATAAGTCGGGTGCAATTTTTTGCCCCGCAAGTCACTTGAAAATGCTTTTTTCAATTTTGACGCAGGACACACACCTATAGACACATGTAGTAGCCCGCAGGTATTCTTGTGCGCCCGCTCCCCTGAAATGGCTAAGAATGCATGAACTGTGCATGCGCGTGATGCGACAAGTGTTGCTCCTTACAGAGCAAAGCGTACGCGCGGCCTACACGGAGCAGGTGGCAAGCTAGCGATTGATTCGCGCACAAGCGCGTGAAGAATAATTGAGTGAACAAGTAGTTGCGGAAAAGAAGCAAACTCCCACCAGTAATTTTCAAAACAGGGCTAAAAAAAAAAAAAAAAAAAAAAAAAAAGCTGTACACGAAGCCCGTGTATGCTACTTGAATTTCCGGATGCATCTTTTCCCATGTACCTTCAGTCTCTTATGTACACACGTGCACTCCAAGATGAGTGCAAAAATACAACATAAAAGAAAAAAAAAAAAAAAAAAAAAAAAAAAGCAAATTTATCCCCCGTGCAACATGTAAAGGCTTCACTTTGAGGGGTTCATTTCGATATCCAATAGTCCACTCCTTCCATTTCGCTTTATTATTATTTTTTTTTTTTCTGTTCCTTTTTCATTAGTTTTGCTCTGCATGCGACAGATCCGTATGCTATCCCGTGCGCCATTTCGCGTAGCCCACATGGTGCCACGTGCTCATGGTCGAACTGTTCAAAGGCCAAATAAAGGAATGAAGGGAATATGCGAGAAAAAAAAAAAAAAAAAGTAGCGTATTGCTTAGGCACATATGACATGTGTTTCGTACCCCTCTGGAGGTCATCCCTTTCGCGTGAATTTTTCACAACCTCATTTTGTTCACCATACATACAACGGGAACAGTGGTGAAAGGTGTGTCACAATATTATGCCTCCTTTTCAGCATCATCCATGTGGTGTTACAGCTACTGTTGTGGTTGCTCATGTTGTTACGACTACGACTGAACATGGTTTGGGCTCCGTCGCCATTGCTGCCTTCTCCCCCATGTTCATTTTTTTTTTTTTTTTTTTTTTTCCAAATGGTGTATGCAGGCGCTTTCATGCATATAAGTTAACCACATGGAGTTTTAACCACCGCAAAAAATGAAGTAACAAAATGGCGCAAAACAATGACGCAACAAATGGGACGTCTTCAAAAGTTTACACTCATCAGTGCAACCCGTGAACGCGCGGAAAAGCAGGCCACACATGTGAACATAGGTTGCATATGTGGAGCCACACAGAGGGGTAAAAAAAAAAAAAAAAAAAAAAAAAAAAAAAAAAAAA